ATCACCTGACCCAATCGTGCGTTGACACACCGCCAGGGCGAATACCCGCTGTCAGCGCAGAATGACTGACGGTTGTTTTAGGACTCAATACTATGGACGCACATCTTGATCCAATCCTTGGCATGGGGCATCATCTTTCCCACTGGTATGGTGCTGGGGGTATGTGGCTCCGTATTTTAAAGAAACTTTGCCACACATGCTGACGGCCTGCCCAGATAATACGATCTAAATGGCACGTCCCCGTCCAATCCATAGGAACCGTCCTCGCTATCATCGGTTACTTCCTCGGCCACAGGCATAAAGGCAGACAGTTCACCGAGAACATCCATGCCCAGTTCGTACCAGTCATCATGCTCATGTTGGTATCCCAGGTCGCCATGGGCATCTACCTGAAGCTACACCTTGAAAAGGGCATAAACGGAAAGATACGGCATGTGGTAGTAAAGGCGCACGGCGTCGTCGGCAAGGCCATGCCTGTGGTGACGTGGGTGCAATTCCTCTTTGGAGGTATCACTGCGCTTGGCTTCTGCAGAGCGGACCACACCGGGCAATGTTTGGCACACTTCATCATGGGAAGCGCTTTCATCGCATACGGAATAATCCTCCTGATACTGCTTCTGGTTGGACAAATGTGGCTGCGGAGGACTGGAAGGAGCCAAGAGTTTTTCGATTCCCTCGTCATTGCTGCGTGGGGCTGCGTCAACACATTCACAGAACACCGCTGGGGAGGACCATGGGTGCACAACGACCTTCAACACACGTCCATGGGCATCGTCTGGTGGGCTGCGGGCCTAGTCGGTGTCTGGCTGAGCCGAAAGCGCAATGGACAACCGAAGCGAAACCTCATTCCTGGTATAATCATCCTGATGACAGGCTGGGCCATGTCCGCGCATCCGCAACACCTCCCCATTTCGACTATGATCCATACCATCTTTGGCTATACCCTCATGGCTGCAGGTGCCGCGCGTATCATCGAGATCTCATTCGTGCTCAAGGACCGAGCTTCTGTTGCGACTGACGGCTCAGACCCGAACAGCTTCCAATACTTGACACCTTTCTTGTTGATGGCTGGAGGTTTCATGTTTATGGGTGCGACTGAAGAGCAGATGAAACTGCTTTCCGATGCAAACGTCACGCATGTGTCCTACGTCCTGATTCTGTACAGTATCGCTTTCTTGCTGTTCCTTTGTAAGTCTTCTCAAACCTCCTTAGTACTGTCTCAAGCTAATTTGTGTCTAGTCGTCAACATGCTTATCCATCTCTACGCCGTATACGCTTGGGGCCAGGACGACAAGGCTGATGCCGAGGCACCTCTAGCGAACGGTCACGCGAATGGACATATCAATGGCTACACCAGGGTCGACCGTAGAGTAAGAGATGCTGAGGAGTTCGAGTTGGAAGGTCTTGACTCCGATGATGAGGAAGACGACTCACCGCGTATGAATAAGGAGCATAGGTCTCTGGCTGCGCAGCATTGAGCGCTTTACTTTTCTTATCAATATAGACTTAGGCGTACAGGAACAATACACTCGTAATAATTTCTACAGTCTATCCCAGCATGTCATACCGGAATGTGGCTCTATCTTTCTCATAGTGTGAGGTCTTTGCCCACCTACTGGATCAAATTATAGCACAAAACTAAATAACCACAGCCAAGAACTTAAGACGAGGCTAACTGTCGCTCGTTACCTGTAGATCGAACGTGTAACACGATAAATACAACAAGAAGTGGCTGCTTACGCGTATTGTCACCTGTCAGTGGCGGATCGATATAAGTGGTTGAACACCGTATGGCTGCATGCACTGCGCCTTAGCCTCAGCCTCAGCTGCCTTCTTGTGTCCCGCTTCTTCTTCGCGCGCTTCCTTCCCTCATCACTTTTCAAATCGTGTCACGGTTGGCGCGACAATCTCTATCATGGCCGATCCGTTTTCCATCACTGGCAGTGCCGTCGGCGTTGTTTCTCTCGCCATCCAACTTTGCAAGGGCCTAGAATGGTACGTTAGCGGTGTGAAGGAAGCGAAAGACAAGGCTGAACAGATTATGGCGGAGACGGAGGAGCTCTCAACTCTACTTGAACTGCTGGAAACCATCATTGGGAGAGTTGATCGGTCTCAGTCAGTATCGACGACTCTTACAGGTATCGCATCATGCGCAGATGCCATCGTGACAATCAGAAAGAAATTGAGACCAGACGATCAAGCCTCAGATGGCGGGATCAAGTCAAGCTTGAAGAGGCTAGGTAAGCGGATGGCTTTACCATTCAAAGAGGCGGAGATAGAATATTGGAAAGGCGTTCTGAGTACAATACAGCAGAGTCTACAAACTGCACTACTCGCGCTCGTCATTGATCAACAGCGCTTGGCCTCTGAAGAGAACAGACAGCGTTTCACACAGCTGTCTATGGATCAAGCGGCGCAACATTACTCCAGTCTACAACTACAGCACGTTGTGTTTGACAAAACACGACTTCAACTCGCTGGTCATTCACGGGTAGTCGAAACAGGGTTCGCAGCTACGGCGCACAGCCTTCGTAGTCTCCATGCCGACGTACACCACTTACAAGACACGATGCAATCCCTTATGACTCTGCCGCGACTTCAATCTACTCTTGAGCGCCTGGTACTCACGACGTCCCTCCAAACATGCTCGACTGACACTGCGCAGGAAGCAAAGCTCGGCGAAGTTGATTTGACGACAGACTCTACACTTCAGACAGACATGATGAATCTAAGGTCGCTTCACCAAAAGAACCACAGATTGGAGCGGAGATTGGCAAAAGTTACTTGTACATGCCAAACACAGGGAAGCGCGTTTAGTTATCGATCAGGATGGCTTGCGCTTGCATTCACCCGGACTTCCTATCACGACCCTGAATGTTGTCTATCCCCTCTCCATAATGGAGTGACAGATCTGCACCTTCGGGCTACATTGTGCAGTCTCATTCTAGGATCAAAGGTCTCAGTTTCGTTGAGACTCGCCTATGGCGCTGGCTTCTCGATCAAACATAGTCTGGAGTGTTATCATGTGGTCCCTCGATCTTCACCTGCTTTTTCGTTCATCCGCAGTCTTGTCCGATCTAGCCCAACCATATCAGAAGAGTTGTTTCGTGGCGAGGTCGATAAATTGTTGATGATGTTCCAGAGTGGACAAGCATCAGCACGAGATCGCCTATCAAATGGACGTACGCTTTTACATGTACGTACGAAGTGCTTTTCCAAGCTGTGATACCAAGCTGAATTAGTATAGCAAATAGGCCGGATTGCCGGGGAGAGCAGAAAAGTCTCAACAGGCGAGGACAAATCCAATTACACCAAGAATCTCCATTACCTTCTTATGACCCTTCTTCCTCGGATGTCGACTCTAGCCTTCGAACGAGACAACTATGGATAGTAAGTTTATAACGGAAGCTTCTTTCATGTTCTTGTTTCGATCGATGAATGGAGGCAATGGAACGAAGCTCACCACCAATAGTACAGGCTTGGATCATCTGATGATATACACCCCTCCACACGCTTGGTGCGATCAAATGCAGCTTCCAAACGCATTGTTCGACCACGGCTTGCAGATCACTCGACCCACGTTGCGATTCATGACGAACTCGAGCCTTTACTCGTCAAGTTTTGCTGCCTTCTCGTTTGAGAGATTCACAGATCCGATACTAGATGAAAGCGATTTGGTAGTGGCGATACTGTCAAGAAATGATCATCAGCTCCAGCATTGCCTTCGCCGATTTGGACATTCGAGCCTGGACACCCGGTCTGTAGCATACGCTTTCAAATTGGCTACCATTCAAGGTTGGACACACGGCTGCAAACTCATGCTCGAGGCCGCTTTGATGACATATATAGACGAGAAACTCCTGCCACAAAAGTACTTTACCTTGCTCCAAAGCTCAGCCAGTACAGCTAGATCGGAGATGGTGCAACTTTGGCTATCACAAAGAGCCAGTCTTGAGCAGGGACAGCTCAGATTCATTGGCTTCGTGGAGGATGTGCTTTATATCCATCGGTGCTATTCTCAGTCGGCCTACAGCAATGATGTAGTTCATGAGATGTTCTCACATCTTTCGGGTCTGAGACACGAGATTCGTCTCTTAGCGGAAAAGCACGAGATTGAGTACTGCTGTGATAGTGCTCGAAGCGACCTACCGGATGCGCACGTGAGATGCATTCTCTATGCGCTGTTGAGCAAAGGTGTTATAGTGCCACAGCACTATTGGCCAAAAAGAAAGAGCCTGTACTACAAGGATGGTTGCTGGTGTTCAACGAGACTTGAGATTCTCGAAAAGCAGGAAAATGATGGCTTTCGTGAGATTAGCGGAAGGGACTTCAGGTGTAGGATGGAAACTTCTTACTCACCTCTAGTGTATTTCCTGACGCAGAGGGGCAAGGAAGATGGTACGCGGGGGACGTTGACCAAGCGAGACCTGATTGTTAGATGGTTCATTTCAAAAGGGGCGGATCTACGAGAAACCTGGCCAGGATCGGACACCACCGCTTCGCATTTGTTGGGCTGGCAATCTGCGGAATATCTACTATCCAGCTTTGCAATTTTGAAGAGAGAAAGAGATTCGCCTATGGAGGTTACCTGGGAGTTCGACGCCTTCCAGTGGCTAGTGGAAGAAGAAATTCTGGACCATTGCGAATGTGGATGCAGCGGCTCCGGCTGCGATTTTCTGACATGCTTCTGGAAAGATCTCTTCACGACCAGGTTACCTTGTTCACAATTCTCCGTCATCTGCGATCAATTCAAAGATGCATATCCGATAGGGAAAGTAAGAAGGGATTTACCGTTGTACTGGTCCGGGCGTACCCATTTGGAAGCCGAATCGGACATTCTTCTTGACTTGACCAACTGGGTTGACAGATCAGCAAGAACCCTCAAGCTTCATCGACTCATATGTGGTTACATGCGCCTTTTCGTATTCTCGTACCTGGAGTTAAGACACACATGTTGCGATATCGGCCGTATCCAGCACAGGGACAACCCTGATTGCGACATGCAACCATACCCGCGATACTCTCCGAAGGAATTTGAACGTGTAGTGGACGAAGATGCTATATTATGCGATACCCTCGAAGAGCTAGTTCCCATATTCGTCTCACAATACAGCATTGTTGGTGGAAGACTCCAAGACTTCGTCTCCGGTGTAATGATTCCAACACTGCGCGAAGTTGCAAAAGAATTGAAAGAAGAAGACGAGGCACTATATGCAGAGGGACGAAGAGAGCTAGGTGTTGTAATGCATGAGCATCGAGATAACTGTGAGCCGGACGATAGTTGTGAGGAAGAAGAAGAGGAAGATACCGAGGAAGAGTCAGACAACGAGCACTGAACCCTTACGCGATCGTTTGATCGACTAGTGTTTGGCGCAAATATCTAGCGAATGTTCAATCGTCTCCGATAGCGGGCAACGCTGTTCATAGAAGCTACCGATCGCCCTGCTTCTTGCTTTATCTCATGACCTTCCGTCTTACGGCTCACGAACAGATCGAGATGATCGCGCCACGGCTGTCCACCTACATCTTCTCGGATACCAAAACAGCTATTCCATCCTTCCATGGTCTCTAGAAATGCTCAAACACTGGCATCTACGCACATGTGTGTAAGAATGTTCAAAATCCTCGACACGCTGAATCATCACTCTGCAGCATGAATATTCGAATTCTGTATCACAATGATAAACGATCAATATCGCGTCCTGATAGGTTTCTATTATTGCAAATCGAGACCGAGGCATCTATGGCTGGGAGAAGACGCTGAAAAGTATCACCGTGGCGGGAAGTACAAGCATACGCCGGTCTCGCACATCCTCAAGACACACCCTGCAGATGAGAAGGGAAGAAATTTTATCATGGGTCATGATGCGTCAACAGCCTTATCATTGCGGTAGCCACACTGGTGAGATCAGCGGCGACAAGTTCTTGGTGTCCCTTGCTACATTTATCAGAAACGCTGGGTTTGTCTAGACTTGTCCATCATGTTCAGGCTCCGTCTTTCCCATTGAGCTCGATCCATCATTCCTTCCCGAAGTGACAAAGATGGTTATGTATGTCTGTGTTTCACGCCATCTCTTCCGAAGCGTACAAGCATCGAATACATGTCTCGCGCCTCTTTTCTACAAAGACACATGGAACTTCATCATGTCTCTGGCCGCTGTGTCAACAAAACACACTGTTTCAAAAGATTGTCCAGATTCACAGTCCGCAAAGAAAATTCAACTCGTATATTCCGCACATTCTGCATATGTTCTCGAAACTACCATCGACATAATCGATGTCTGCATCTCCAGCCGCTTTTCTAGTACTTAGATGACAAGGTGCTACTCCAGCTGGTCGGCGTCTTCGTCCTGTGTCAAGTTCGTGTTAGGTTCCCCAGCGATGAATGTATTATCGCCATTCAGTGTAGGTGCAAACCTCAACAGTCTTACAATCGATGGGAACCTTTGACGAACATTGACTGGCGGTGGTGGCCTTAATTGACGAGATCCAGCAAGCTTCAACTTAATGGCCTCTCGGGCAGTACGTGCATCGGGATGTTCTCGCATATACTTCTTGGCAACTGCACTGAGTTCACTCATCTTCCCAACGCTGTCCAAACCTGCTTTCACACTCTTGATGTCTGGATTGAGTCGGAAGTACACCTCCTTCCTGTCGACATTGGGAGTCTCTGCATCAGCACGATATGCATCGACCATGATTCTGGTATTGTGGTGCGTCGCCTCAGTACCAGTCATTGCATGCAGGCTGTAGATGGCGAGTTGAAGGCGAAAGTAGAAGAAGCGGGAAAGCATTCGTTCGCAGATCCATGTTACCCTTGGGCCCAGCATGTCTAGAGTAGCGTTGGCCATAGTGTGGTCTTCCTCACGCCCTGTTCCGAGACTCAATATGCAATCGATATCAACAGGTCTCCAGATCTTGCTTGCCTCCATGATAGCGATGTAGGTCGGGTTGTTAGCTATAGTTGCGCCGTCACTGAAGCTTTGGCCATCCAATTCGATGGGTTTGAAGAACGTCGGGGCTGCAGAAGTCGCACGTCCAGCTTGCCAGATCGTACAAGGTGATGCACGCTCAGTTTCGATACCTTGGATGTCGTAAGATCTTAAGATAACCGGCCGTGAAGACTCCTTATCAAGATTTGTCGAAACGATGAATGTTTTGCAGCCTTGAAGTCTGCGACCTGTCCTTCTAACTTCTGGGCGATCAGTGGTGGGGATGGTTGTTTTCAGTGGTGCATTCTCCTGCAGCTCAAAAGGAGACTCTCTTATAACCGTCTTCAGGCACTCTTCGAGAGCTGCTTCATCGTAGGTGGCGTTCCAACGCTCGACCCATGGTAACTTCTTACCGAAGATCTTTTTTGAGAGCGTGTTGTACTTCTCGATCGCTTGATCCACGGTCTGCGATGTCAGTGAGTTGATGAGTAGTAGTCAAAGCTTGTAAATACATACATATCCTAGTCTGCCCAGCATCAGAGCGATTAAACCTCCAGTACTTGTTCCGCAGATCAGATCGAAGTAGTCGCAAGGTCTCAATTCTTCAGGTGGGACATATGAGCGAGAACTGGCAGCTCGTCTAGACTTGGCGGTCCTAGGAACATGTCTCTCAATATTCTCCTGCGTACGTATGTCTTCCATGATGTGTTTCAACATTTCCAGAGAGACAATGCCTTTGACACCGCCCCCGTCGAGGCATAGAATACGGATTCCTCTCTCTTCCATGGCGTTGATTTGAGCAGCAGCGTGGCGACGATCCAAGGCTGTAGATGGTCAACTACTAAAGCGCACTAGAAGGCAAAGGGGTTAAGTGACAGTATTATAAGTCCAACGATACTATCAAAACTGTGTGCAAAGGAGTTCGCGGAAAGCTGTAACAGAGCTGGTCAAGAAAAAACGTAAGATGGAAAGAATACTGACAGGCTGGATAGTTTAAGTAGCTGACATTGCGACGTTGTTCTTATTGGTAGGTCTCAACCTGCATACTCAGCTCGACACCCTGATCGTGCTCACTAGCCTGATAGGCTGATCAACCCGTATCCGATAACTTTTCATGCAGTCTCATGCCACGAAGGCATCTAAGAAGGGGTTGGTAAGATCAGCCCTGGAGTACATTTTCTCAAGTTGCATGATTGCAGCAGCCGTCAATAGCCCGAGTGAGTATTCGTGATATGTTTCATTGCAACGCGGTTTTTGCAGTCAGCTTAGTCTACATAGTCCAGTTTGTGGCTGTGTTTGATATGATCTGAAGCACCAAAAAGCGTGTTGGACGTAGAGTCATGCAGTCAAGACTTGGTGTAAGGCTGTATACACGGATGTGGGGCGTGTCCGTCTGGGGTGCGTGATCGTTCGGGCGCACCTGGCTTTCTCGAAGCTTGTATATACATCATCTGTCCATCTGGAGGGATAAGTCGTGGTGTCTCCTCTATCGACACCGAGAAGAACATGGTATCGCCTATCTAAGATTAGTGTGTCAGACGTATAAAAGGCTTCCATTCTTCCCTCTCTTACCTTCCTAACAAGCAACCTTTTTTTCTTCAAAACGCCAAACCTTGAGCGTGAAGGAGCCATGCGGCAAGGAAAAAACCCAAAACCCCCATACAATGATAGTATGGCCGTCCCGTTTTGATTTTTCAACAAAAATTACACGAAAGAAGTCATCGCCACTCTAGCTCACACTCTGCTATCACATCCATTTCCCGAACCAAATACCAAAATCGAATTCTGGCTTCACTATGAGAAGAGGAAGACCGAAGAATTCTACACTGAACGTTAATGTCTCCGTGCTTTCGAGACGATCTACAAAACATGTACCTCTTTCTTAACCCGCTCATTATCTTATTCTTTCGTAGAACCTCTTTCTTCATCGAAAGAAGCAAACCAGGAATATTTTTCCAAACATTACCATGTGAAACCGACAGTCCAAAAACTATACATATGCTCAGTCATATCCGCATCGCTGCACACAAGGGCAGAGATGAACAAATGACATCCTTGCCACCCAACGATCCACTCTTCACCAATGTTCCTCTACGCCAAAAGAGCAGCAAAATGTCTGCATGAGTCCTCGGTCCGGCCGCTCCCAAAAGAGCCCCAACACCACTATACATGTCTCGAACCACTCGCGAAACTCCAGGCCATGGTTGTCACATTCTATCGTTAATCCCATTCCCATCCAACACATATACCCGAGCAAAAAATCAAGACACCAGCATTGACATAGCTGTCAAAAAAGTGAGGATATATTCAATATCTATTAGACGGCAACGCAACATGCCCCTCCTCCCCATCACTCTTCCAGACATCCGACCATGAGTCTAGACCAAGAGCCCACGCGCATCCCCATGTAGCGCTGCTTAGTCGCGTCTTGGTGTGAGGCTGTGTACATGAATGTGGGGCCAGTCGAGCGTCTGGGGTTGACAAGGAAAGTGCGGCCACTCCCGACACGGCTCGAAGCTTGTATGCATGTCGGGTCGTTCGTTCGCAATGTCGAAGCGTTCTGGCGCCAGCCTTCTTCATGCAAACGTTTTTGGGGTTCAGGAATTTTGGGCTTGTGTGGAGGTTTGCTGCTGTTGATGAGGACACCGTGGCTGCGTTGTAACAGAAAACCTGCCTGTCCTGCCTTTCTCAGCCCGTGGTGCTGTCGCATGCCATAATCCGTGTCCTAGTTGTGCGTTTTCGCCGTCTGTGTAATCTTGACGTATTACCCTCCTTCGTCTTCAAACCGGCAGCACCGCCGTGATAAAAGCTTCCAGACCCCTCTCAAACAGCTCATTCGCAACCCCAATCCCACCGGGATGCTCCACAGGCGCCAGCGGATTCTTCACCACATACTCGACGTACAGATTGGCCCAGATCTGATGCAAGTACTGGCGCAGGTTAATCACCTTTGTATCGGTGAGCATGACAAACTTCATGCGCGTGGGCGTCTCGTAGTAGTGCAGCTTGTACTCGCCGGTGCGGTAGCTGAGGAAGGTGTCGTCGGCGCCGCCCAGCTTGGTAACGAGGTTGCGCAGCGAGAAGACGAGGCCAAAGACGAGCTTCTCGTCGTCAGAGTGCGACATGCCTTTGCGCACGGCGGCCACGACGTCCCCGTTGGACGCAATCGAGGTGCCGGATTGCGGGCGCGCCGTGGCTTTGGACGACGACGACGAGGGGCGCGCGGGCGTCCAGCGGCGCGAGTAGATGCACTCGGCTGGGGGACGCGGTCAGCGCGTGCACGGCATGACGTTCAGGGAACTACTTACTGTGCCGATCGAAGATGTAGAAGCTGTAGAGGACCATTGTGAGGAGGATGACGTAGGCGGGTGGTCGGGGGAGGTGATTGGTATGCGGAAGTGGTGTTGTCGATAGGGAAGCGGCTATGCGGATTTGGTCACCGATGCCAATTGACGATAGGTAGTTGTCGGCAGGTACGTCAGATGTGGCCGGTGAAGGGTAATCGGAGCGAAGGTGGAGAGATTTAGCGGATGAAAGCAGAGTGGATCAACAGAGCACGGTCTAAGTGGATAACGAGCTGAAGGTGATGTTGTGACGGGGGTGATGTTGTGACGACGGGTGAGGCTGAAAGAAATGTCAGGAAACGGCCCCCTCTTTGCTGCATCGTCCCCCCCCTCTCACTCTCTAGTCGGGCCCTCTCTAAACAGCTGGATCCTGCACTCTCGGAACGTCTGCGTCGACGGTCCCGGATTTCCCCATATTATTTCTCCCTAACCCTCTGCTAGCCCCGTGTGTCAATCTTATCAGCTACGTACTTAGCTACCGCCCGCCCTGGCCGACTACTGAGGGAGTTATGTCACCCTCCCCTACGCCGACACCTCCCCCCAAACGCCCCTCAGAATCCGACCTGCGCATCTACACCTCGCAACCTTCTCTAGACGTTCCTGCAGTCGGCGAGGCCGGACGACCGCCGCCCGTTAAGTTTATGTACGTGCTGCTGCCGCTTGTACCCCGCGGAGGTGGTGGGAGTAGTGCTGATGCTAGACCAGGTCAACACCCGCATACCAGAGCCCGTTACGACACCACAAGCGCGCAGCTTCCTCGACAAGACGTGTCAAGGTGCGACGGCCGCCACGCACCGCATGCGACGACGCATTGATGCTAACCTGCTAGGAAACCTTCAATGCGCGCTCCGAGTACAGCAACAGCGAAGATGACGGCAGCGCCCAGCACCGCATCAACCAATACCTAGTCAAGCAGGAGATTGGCCGCGGCTCCTTTGGCGCCGTTCACCTTGCCGTAGACCAGTATGGCCAAGAATATGTGAGGATACCAGCCTGACAACCAGAAAGAGAAGGCTCCACCCGGCCCATGCGCCCAGAGAGAGAGATACACATGCGGGTTCCCTAGTGGTACAGCCATTGGCTTTCGCTGACGCATCAACGCGCAGGCTGTCAAGGAATTCTCAAAGTCGCGATTGCGAAAACGCGCCCAGTCCAACCTCCTCCGCCGACCCGCGGCTGCGAAGCGAATGCGCGCCCTCCCAGCTGGCATAGGCTTCAACTCGCCCCTGCACCGCCACTCCGTCACCGAAGAGAACAATGCCTTTGAGCTCATCAAGGAAGAGATTGCCATTATGAAGAAGCTGAACCACCCCAACCTGGTTACCTTGATCGAGGTGTTGGACGACCCCGAGGAAGACTCGCTATACATGGTTATGGAGATGTGCAAGAAGGGCGTCGTCATGCAAGTTGGTCTCGAGGAGCGCGCCGACCCATACAGCGAAGAGCAGTGTCGGTGTTGGTTCAGAGACATGATACTGGGTCTCGAATACCGTGCGTGACCTCCGACCCTGCGTGACCCAAGGCTAACTTCTGCCAGTCCACGCCCAGGGTATTATCCACCGTGACATCAAGCCCGACAACTGCCTCATCACAGAAGAGGATGTGCTAAAGATTGTCGATTTCGGCGTTTCAGAAATGTTCGACAAGGAAGGCGAGATGAAGACGGCAAAGTCAGCGGGCTCGCCAGCGTTTATGCCGCCTGAGCTGTGTGTTGCCAAGCACGGGCATGTCTCGGGAAGAGCTGCGGATATATGGTCTATGGGCTGCACGCTGTACTGCCTCCTTTTTGGACGGATACCATTTGAAAAGCACGGCATGATTGAGCTCTACCAATCAATACGAATGGACCCTTTGGAATTCGAGACTGACTGCAATCCGGAGCTGAAGGAACTTCTCCAGCGGCTAATGGAGAAGGACCCCAAGAAGAGGATCACCATGGAAGAGATTAGAGTGAGTTGGCCGTTTGGATTGATTGCGCAAGTCTAACTCGAGCAGGAACACCCCTGGGTCACACGGCAAGGAACAGACCCTCTACTAGCAAAGTCGGAAAACGTGGCCATCATTATTGATCCGCCGACCGACGAGGAGGTCAATGCTGCTATTACAGGCAACATGGGCCACTTGGTCACAGTGGTAGGTGCACGTAATCCCTATGACATACAAGAAGCATTGCCGTGACGGTATCGAAACTGGTCTTGGCTAACAATTCGGTAGGTACGGGCGGTCAAGCGCTTCAAGCAACTGTTGTTCAGAAGGCGACCCGACCGTATTGAGAGTATACTAGGTAGTGCCTCGCGAATTGTTCAGCCTCCCATGTCCATGCGACCATCGGCACTACGCAAATCAAAATCACAAGACACACATGACCGACGACCAGTCGAAGGCGCACTCTTCACCGAGGGTGTACATCACCGCATCAACATCGACGAGCGGGGCCAGAGGCTTCCCCACAACATGGACGACATGGCCTATATCAAACCCGGTCTCCGAGCCGAAGCAGCAGGAAGACGTCCAGCTCCCCGATCGCCTGCAACCAGCAGTCCAACCACCCCAACAGTGCCAGGTCTCGACGGCAATGCCAAGGTCATCCACGAAAACATGTCCATCCGTCCAGCGCCAATTCATTCCATCTCCACCCCCGGCGGCATCGCGCCCTCGTCATCAACACCAACCACACCTCTAGGCAAAGGCCACGCGCACAACCCGCTCGAAGACACGCTCTTCCTCAACATTGGCACAGGCGAGGATTTCCCCCCTGCTCCAGAAGACGGCTGCATCGTGTCGGAATCGCCGTCCAACGTGGATATCAACGTGTACGAAACGGCCTACGAAGAAGAAGTCCAGCGCATCATTGCCCAGCGCCGCGAACAATTCGCCGCAAGCGCCGCTGCCAACGCCCGTCGACCTACCTTGTACCTCACGCGCCGCGTCGAAAACGTAAAGAGCATCCGCGACAGCGACGCCATTTTCGACGAGGGCCAAGACCTCCGCCAGAATATTAAGGTCTCATTGAAGAGTTTTGTTACCAAGACTAAAGAAGATATCGAGGCGAGGGGGGAGTTGCAGAAGTTGCAAGAGGGGAAAGAAGGGAAACTTAGTCGCACCATGCGTAATGTGAGGGAGGCGAAGCGGTTGGTGGAGGAGGCGAGGGAGAGGGTTAAGACGGAGGAGAGGGATCGGGAGAGGGAGAGGAGTCGGAGTGCGACGCCCGTGTTGAGGACGAATAGTTCGGCGAGTGTGTTGTCGAGGAGTGGGACGCCGGTTGGTAGTTGATTGAGCTTAATTCTTCTTTTCGGAGGCAGAGAAGGACATTGAAGGAGGGGTTTCTCTTTTTAAACATGGCGTTTTGTATACATAAAGGTATTGGCTTGGTTTGCATGCATGCATGGGGTCTCGGGCCTGGAGCTCGATTGCTGTATATTCGTATACTGATAAATGGGAAAGGGTCTCTCTAACAAGACTTTTTTCTTTGATTTTTGATGAGTGGAGAGTGTGAGCATGGTGATTGATGGTTGATAACTGTGTGAGTTTTTCAATCTCTCTGTCGTCGTAGATTGGGGCAAACCTATGACGTGAATCGTTCAATGATTGAAGGGAAACAATCAGACAATTTACTCCACAGGGTACAGTTCAGAGACGCGCGCACCATGGACATATCTTGACATCAAGCTTTTATCAACTCCGGTCCGCTAGCTTATTAGCCATACTTTCGGCGACGGCGGTGGTCAGTTCGCATGCATCTAGGATGAGGCTGTGTAAGATTGGCTAGACCCCATGGGGCTAGCCTCAGGTACATCTTTCATGCTAGTCCCGGGATAAGCCCTGCACACCGCAAGGCAGACACAAACTGGCCCTTTTGATCGATCCCCATCATCGTTCCTCTGTGCGTGTAGGAAATGTGGCCGCGCTCATCTCGCCCGTATGTCGTCGAGAAAGAAAAGAAAGGTCAAGGGAATCAGTGTGTGCATATGGGGAATTGCAAGCGACTCGCGAATGAGTCGAGTATTCACCGAGTGAGTTCTGGCGTTTTCACTTTGTCTTCCGCCCGCCGCCGTCAGAACGCACATGCCAGAACCGAACGACTTGCAGGCATCAAGCATGCAGCGTGCATACTAGGTAGCTCGTCTCCGCGGTATTACCGCTCAGGCGTCCTACGCGATTCGTAAACGGGTGGTTGATTAGTAGTACTTCGACACATCTGCGTCTGTCTTCCTCTACCCTCGACACGACCAGATGCAGAGTTCCGTGTCCTTGTGTCTGTGTGTGGAAAGCCTCACGACGCCGCTCCGCTCCCCCTCGCTTCTTCTACACCGAGTACCGTTGATGCATTGCCACTAAACCCGCTTTGTTTTTTTGTTTCTCGCGTCGTCGTCGTCGTCGCCGTCGCTTTTTTTGGACTGTGGGGGTGGGGTTGTTGTTGTTGTTGTTGGATATTAATACGAAAGATGTTGCTACCTTGGATCCGTACTCGCGCCGGTACGACGGACAGTTCAGCAGCGGATCCCGATGGTGGTGTCGTCGTGGATGAGAAGAAAGAGAAGGATCGGGATGTTAAAGTCGCGTGTTCGTCTATTGTCAATTTAACGTCCGAGTCGCTGCTGCAGCATGAGCCTGCTTCGCCGCTGCCACCGCCATCGTCGGAGCCGCCACGCCGGGAACGCGTCACGACCTGGGGAAACGACAGTGTGCAGGGAAGCCGGTTTGCGCGATGGGACTGGCGATCCAAAGCAAAGTGGAAAGTCCGTTGGACCTGGGTGTTCCACGAGGCCTGCTTGAGTACCTGGGACGCGATGAAATGGGTTGGAAAGACGACGAAGAACGCGCCTGTGTGGAAACACGTGCGCTGGAGCAAGAAGCAGTTTTACGCGTTTTGTCTCGTGGTCATATGGGTTGTCCTGCCGATGACATTGATCAGCTACCTGACTCCGTTTACCTTTATCTTTGCGGATAAAACGTTGAGCTGTGGAGATGGTCTCTTCGGGGACCCTCAGAATGCTACGGTGACGGGGATTGAGAAGCTGTTTGCGCTTGACGCTACGTTTGGTCGGTTCTCGTTTTCCCAAGTCAAAGCCATTGACGTCTTGTGGGATTTACTCGTGGGCAAGGGCGCGCAGGCTCTGGCGTGGTGGGCGAGTTACAATGTGTTTTGCGACGCGCTGCTCCGGGCGATTGAGCGGCATCCAGCGAGTTTTGAAATTTTCCAGAGAATCGGGAATGAAGGGCCTGGGCTGCATTCCTTGTGGACGCTGACAAAGGAGCTGTGGAATGCGAAAAGTGCGAGGACAAGAGCACTCTTCTTCTACATGTTCTGGTCTACGGGGTACGTGCTGCTTGTGCCTATTGTGCTGGGCGCCATGACGGGTTATGACAGCACGAGTATTGCTTGGATTGATCTCGAAGGCGAGAACAACATTATTCCTGCGAGTGCTCTGCACCAGACCTGGGTTATAACAGGCACAAAGAACGAAACGCTCAAAACAACAGCATGTATAGACTGGAAGGTCCGAACGGACTATCTTTACGTGCAAAACCAACAAGAAAACAAATGTAAACAACCCCCCCTCCCCCATACAAGTATGTCAATAACAAGAAACCAGGTGACTGCCAGTTGCCCAACGGCACCATGACCACCGCCGACGAGCGATACAAATGGCTTCGGAGCCAAGACAACTACTACTACTATTATTCTTTCAGTACCGTTTATGCGAACTGCTCCTTCACATACCCCAACAATACACAACGCTATACCGACGTCAATGCACGCTACTACCTAGACACGCAAGACGCCAGCGCAGACGACACCTACACCTGCAACGCCACGGTAACCGTCCCCATCAACGGAAAGCAATACGACGCGGCCAACCTCAACGGCGACTATGGCTACTGCTACAACGGCGTAGGATACAACTACAGCTACCTGAGCGACAAGAGCCGATGTTTGCCCGACACGGCCAATCCGAGCTACCAATGGGGCTTCGCGACGCTCATGTCTGGTCTATTCATCTTCATCACGGCCATCTGGACGCTGAGCATGTACGTACTCTGGCAGGACGCGCAGTTTAATTGTAAGCTCGTGAAGCAGGGGTACCGACTTACACCTTTGCGGGCGGCGTTTGCGATGGCGGTGGCGGCGAGGCGGCGCACGGGGTTGGGTGGGAAGGAGCTTGTGAGGGCGAAGAATGCGGGGTTGGAGAGGGAGTTGTATGGGAAGAAGGGGACGCGGGGGACGGTTATTGAGGGTCATTTGTTTGTGGCGGATGTCGAGGATGAGGGGAGGGAGGAGGAGGAGAGGAATAGGAGGAAAGAGTGGATGATGCAGATGCCGGTGGAGACGCCGCTGTCGCCGCTTACTCCGGCTTATACGTCGTCGGGAAAGGAGAAACAGTGGCCGTTGTCTCCTTCTTCGACGACTGTGGGGGACCAGGAGATTAGACCGTTGGTACGGTCGGATACGGATATCTCGTTTCATGTCCTGGATGATGAGGAGTTGAGGAAGAGGTATTTGAGAGGGGTGGAGGAGGCTAGGTTGAGTCGGAAACCGCTGAGTAGGGAGTCGACGTGGGTCGAGGAGAGCATGTGGGAGAGTAGTCCCAAATTACCGCGGTACGATGAACGGAGTGCGGATGGTGTCGATGGTGTGGTTCGGGATGATGAGAAAGTTGCGGAAGCAGATGAAAGCGATGAGCGACGGGGGAACAAAGATGGAAAGGAAAGGGCTAGGTTGAAGAAGAGTAGACGGCCTGGTTGATTTGATAGATATAGATTATACGACGTCATGAATGTTATGAGTAAAGAAAATCGGTTTAGATACATTGTGGCTATCGTTACGAAGTGTTTTGCTTGGCGCTACAAAGACGGTGTCTTGGACATGAGGTAGGTCTGTTGAGTTGGACTACGTGGTTCAGCGGCCGTTGGTCTTACACTTTGATTGTTTCGAGATTATATCCTAGCATTTAGTCAAATAAAGATTCACTGAGAAGAAGCGTATAAGATCAATATTTTAAATGCAACAACTTCTGTCTAGTCCTACGCTATATAGACTATGCTGGTCTGAACGACCAATAAAATTGCTCCTAAATAATATGCACGTCACATGGAGCTTCTTGTGACAGGGTCTCTGTGCAATAGTTACGCGAGGATCAAGTTTTCGGCACATTCGTAGCGATGCTAGTCTGTCTAGGAATAGTGCTAGTGATTCTAATATTTTCGTGTGTTAGAAAAGACAATCAAGGTTATAGCTATGCATACCCAAGTTTCTTCTTCCTTTCTTCTAAGAAGATAACAACGAATTGGTATAAACCACTCTCGGACGTGTAAAGGTAAGAAGACGTTTAGCGACTGGGATTGCTTCACACGAAGGACACCAAGTGCCGTTCTACCAAAGTCATCGTCAGAATAACCCATCAACACAGAAACATCGTCATCGTTCCGCGCCACTATGCAAGCGGCCACCGTCTAAGCCTTCTCGAGGATCACGGCTATGATAAATCACGAACCACAAACTCGATTACACTAGATTCTTTCTGGTTGGTAATCGCTCACATCCCTTCGTACAACTCTACCCTGTCATCTAGTATGCTTCCCATAACGACGACTTCACGCTTGGAGAGCTATCATCCCATGAGACAGGGCCACAAGTGTGAGATCATCCTAGTCACTGGCTACATTGCGTGGAATTGTATCTTCTCTCGATGGTTTCCGTTCCGGTTTCCGTTTTGGGTTTCGTTCATGTCTCTCTCTCTCTCTCTCTCTCTCTCTCTGTCCAGTCATTTTCGCTGTCAACTCTTCTTCTTCTCTTTGTAGCCGTTCCTAACACCAATCTTGATCGTTATCTTCAGAGCCAAAGCCTTTTCAATCTTTGCATTCGTTCCTCGTTTTCCTCGGTCAATCTCATTGAGATACTGACGCTATTCACCATGGTGTCGGATCTTCTACGGAAGGCAATGTAGCACATCTAATCCAGCCTTGTGGAAGACTCGCTTAGAGTTTTTACCATTCCACTGAATCTCGGTTGCCTTCCTATAGTCTTTCTGATATGTTCGTTTTTTCTTATCTTGTTGCATTCTATCCGTTGTAACCTTCTTGGTTGCCTAAATCTCCACATGACGTCAGTGTCGTCTTAACGCCCAACGCGTCAAGGCCTCGATCAAGTACGCGTCGAGAATACACCCAACAATAATGTCTTCATCATCCAGTCCCTCCTTTCTGGCCTGCCTATCTCAGTGCGACAACAACAAATTATATCATCACACCGGGTACATCATTCCAGAGCTCGCTCTCTTGGGCTACACCGATATCGCAGGGCGCCTGATAAGTAAACTCAACAACTATGACCTGTATCATGACAGCTAACCATATCGGAGCCAGGGAAGTCTTTGGTTCTTGTGGGATCTGCGTGCAAAGGAAGATGGGGTACCGTGGCCCGATGGCGAGGAAGAAAAGGTACGACAGGTTGTGAGGAACAGACGAGCGAAGCAGAGGGCGGTGACCCAGACGACCCAGCAAAACAAAACCGCAGCCAAAAAACGATTGGCATCGTCTATTGTTTCTTCCTTTGGAGAACCAATAGACGTTGCCATACAAGTCCAGCCTCAAGAAGACCCAAAGGCAAGTCTACACACTGTTAGAGCGAAAGAGGAAAGCAGAGATGCTGTTATGCCGAGCGATGATGAGGCGGTCAGCCTTGATGATATACAAAGAGAGCTGGAGCTCCAAACCAACAAGTCCGACGGACCATCTAGCACCACTCAGATGCTTACCAATGCGCGAGACATCGTCCATAACCTGGAAACTGCAGGTCGGACTACCCATGTCTCCAGCCTGAGTTGTGGCTTGCTAGAGGCACTAGATCTGGTTTTAACGGCTGAGGAGCAGCATGGAAAGCACGAAGAGGGCAGAGGCCTAGACTTGGTTGGAGCTCCAACATCTGACGAGCTGTTGCAATGGCTAGCATACAGTCTAGGGGAGAGACATTCTGATAACTTGGCAATAGCAGGATCGAGACAAGCTTGGAGACTCTATAAAAGAGGAGCGTTGAGGCAAGCGCTCAGCATCGATGAAGCGGCGCTCGCAGCCTTCGCGCACGATTTCGAGATCGCTTTGATCGAGCGACTCACGAATGGCCGTACCAAACCATCAGCTCACCTTCCCATGCCAGGACTCTTAAAGGCCGCAGAAGACGTCACACAAGCCATCAGAACCGACGCCGAAGTCTCACAGAATTCAGTTCGTGCCAGAAGCACATCCCTTTTCGACTCCCCCGCGACGGAAGAACAAATTGCACAGGCCGAGGCTCGGCTGGGCATCAAACTCCCATCGGACTACAAGACTTTCCTCCAGATCAGTAATGGTACTGTTGGACACATGTGGGGCCATCCTCTAGGCGACTTTCAACCACCCCTGCACACAGTCGACAAGCTACGATGGCTTGACCCGGCCGAAGAAGATTACTTTACCGGTCTTGCGCTTGACATTCCTGCTCGCTGGGCCAACTGGCCTTTTTCACCTCGCCCCACTGCAAACGGATACGGCGACTATCCAGAACACTTTGTCATTGGCCGCGCATTGGAACTCGGTTTCGAGGATATCGATAATGTGTGGCTGATCCCTCCATCTACCGTCACGCCGATCAAAGACGCGGTGAAGAACTTGTTGAAAGATGAAAAGTTGAGCGAGCTCGACAAGAATAGTGTCAGAAACGCGGTTCGAGACTTTGCGGGTAGTGAAGATGAATGGGAGCAGATGGAATGGGCTTGTGTGACTTGGGCTAGTGGGGGGACTGCGGCTATGTTCTTTTATCCTGGGTTCAAGGCTTGGCTTGAGCGTGTGGTAGAGCATGGCAGTGCGACGGCATATGTTAAGGATGGGTATCAGGATCAGGGGACGAAGGTGTTGAAGAGTCAAAAGTGGTTAGGGAATCTGTTTGGGAAAGTTGGAGAGGAAAAGGAGTCGATGGAAGTGCCGAAGTGGTTGAAAGATGTGGTGCAGGAGGGGAGATGACATAAAATTGAAGTTGGTCAGAGGGATCATGATAAACGCATGGACTCGCTGTCTCGATTGTTCAACATTATTATCCTTGTCCTAACGATCTTCACAGACGTACTAGTATCCAAAGGTGGGATAATGAAAAATGTTTTGCAGGAATATTATTAGATATTACGACAGTCTCCAGAGCCACTGTCCCAGCTCCTCCTCGGCGCTACTGATCGTTCGTCGGGGTATAATGCTTGATAGAAAATCCACTTTTGTCTCGCTCGAAATGCACTTTTGGTCGTCGTGTCGTCATTTACATCCTTCTCCTCCTCTTTCTTGATCTTTACACCTCCGTCTACAAGGGCTTGCCCTGGGTAACAGTACCGGAGGGAGCGCCGTATCCGTAGCTGGCCATGTATGCAGCGTTGACGCTCTTGTGGTGCTCAATAGCGTGCTTCTTGACGCCTTCCCACATCTTTTTGATGCTGAGGTTAAGCTTGTGTTGCGTCTTCTCCTCTTGGTTGACAAAGTGGTGGGCGTCGTGGGCCGACTCGTGAGATTGGCGACGAGACTGCGAAGAGGGTGTTGTGGGGATGGAAGATGGGGTTGAAGCGGAAGAGAGCGACAGGATGCGCGGGTGGGAGTCGAAGTTGTTCATGTTGGTGGTGGTTTTGAGGTTGTTGAGAAGGTTTGTTCGTTCGAATTGTTCGAAGTGATAGGAGAGTTTGATGATGGCGAACTAGTAGTAGTAGACTTGATGGCTTGTTGCTGATGCTCCCACAACGAACCCACCTCCCCGCCCCTTATATACCCCATGGCACAACGAAGAAATTTTCTTCCCCTTTCCATCCCCAGCCAAACGATCGTGAGATCTTGGACACATCCTCCACGTGCATCGTGACTGATTTTTCTCAACGGTCGCACATGTGGGTCTAGTAAGGTAGTATCGCCTCGCCTTGGTTTCCACCGAGTGTCTAGAAGCCAAAACGCACACCGTAGGACGTCATCATAGTGTCGTTCACATCTGCCCTGACTAGACCCTTTCCATACAAAGTCAACCCGAAAATAGCTAATGCCCATGGCATGATCTCCGTTAACCGCTTAGCTCCCGTCAGGTACTCACGAGAACGTGGTGAGAGGCGTCGTGCGGCTTTCATCGGCTCAGCTTCAGACTTTTCATACCGCAAGGTCCCACTGCGCAACCATCACGTTCTTGACTTTGACACACGAGTTACCTCTAAAGGCCATTTCGTGTGTCATAGTTGATGTCTGCGCAAAATTCAGTGTTTCGTCGTGCCTGGAAGAAGCAGGGGGATTGGTGGCTATTTTAACTGTTGGCTGATGCGTGCGGCTCAACGAGTCTTGGGTGCGTGAGCTGAAATGTTCGCGATGGTGCACGTGGATTCGTGATGAGTGGCGAGACCGTTGCCAACGCGCTGATCATGTGAATGCGCGATCAGAGTAAAGGTGCAGAGTGGGTTTGCGGGATGCGGGCGGCTCGACTGAGCGAACACCATTCAACGTCCCGTAGTCTGGCGATTAGTCACCAGCCCTTATGTGCCTTCTCACACGTTTGCTTGGAGACTTTGGACTCACGGTAATCTTAGTTCTACAGGCGGCTTTTTACATGGGTCGATGGTGTTTTAGTTGCACATTCCCAGACGAGGTCCAGAGATACTAACTCCACGTTGACTACAGCACGCAAGAGAAGGAGCCAGAACTCACTGGAAGGAAACACTGGGATCGACAACCATCATCTCAATTCCACACTGCCACGCACCAGCAGCGCACTTTGCAGGGTTCGCGGCGTGCGCAGCACCACAGCAGGAGGCAATGTTGGCTGTGCCTCTTATCTTCTAATATGCGATCCGCGCTGGCTTTTCGGACAGATCAAGCAGTCACACTCGACATCGCTGCGGCCCAGGGACTTGAGTCACTACGGCGCCAAATACCAGCTCATCATCTCAGCAGCATCGTCTGCTCAGCGTCCTGGCGCAACGACTGATCACGACTTCGATGTAAACAAGACTCCCTTTCCACTTACCCTCACAAGTTTGCGCACTCGCACATCAGCCGTCATGTCACGCAGGCTTGAACGAAGCTCGAAGCAAGGCTGTTGAACCAAGATGCGGCACAGCCGCGAGTACAGCCCATGAACCAATGAAACAACACCCCTCACAGGTCACATAGAATCCCTTTTCATGCGCATATATGGCGCAGTCGAGTCCGCAAATCGGGTGCCGTTAACCATATCACCATGCAGGAGAGTCTCAACACAATGATGTAGATGAGCAATGGGCGCAGCGTGACCGCCGCCGACGCATTGTGATCAAGTACCTGATCCCCGCTGGTGGTACATTGTCTGGGGTATCTTGTCTACCTCAATCCTATTCTCATCGACTTCTTGTGCGCAGTTATCTGCTGATTCCATGTTATGGCGGGTATCGAAGATGCTGGATATACACTGTATACTGTTTGTCTTTTTTTCAAAACTTCCAGCCCCCCAGGGTAGGGGGGGGTTAGTTTTGTGGTCTTTTTTTTATAAAAAAAAAAAAAAAAAAA